ATTCTCTTACTTTGCACTGATTGATGAAAAGAAAGAGTCCATATTCATTGTAGACTTACAAACAAAATATGTATTCATAGACAGGCTAATATTTTTTCTCGGCTTCCCATATTAAGAATATCTGTTGACTAACACCAAGAATAACTAGTATTCATTTGTGCACACGCCGGCGCCAACATATAACCCAGCTCTCTGCCTCTTTAAAACCCCCATCCGTTCTGAAACTATTATGTTTCACAGCAATCAAAAAGCTGAAATTGAAATATGTTTCAATTATAACTGGTATATTTGAAACTCCAGTGGGTGGCAACCATTTTGCTAAGCTAATGCCCTGACATAATTCAGATACAATGTGAAAAAAACCCCCATTTTATTCAACCTACTGTAATACAGCAATAACAGGCAAATTTTATTTATGTAAACATTAAATATTTAATTTAAATATTATTAAACGTTGACATTTATTTGATCATACCGCAGATTGGAAACTAGTTCACTTGTCTCAACCTGAGATCCAGTACTGTTGGTGTCACAGAAAATGGCACTTTTCATCTGAGTGACCCCACCCAACAGCAAGTACACAATTAGTAATACCAGTACAATGTGTGTGCCAAACTTGGTAACTTTTTGCAACTGTGCACTGAGGTTGAAAACATGACAGCAAACTTTTGCCCTTTATATCCATTTCATGTTTTGTAAGAGGTGAAAAATGTGTCTTTATTATGTAAATTTTTATAATTCTGCTCTAAATTGAATGAGTGTCATTTTCCTCTTGGGTGAATAGTTAAGGCCATTCATAATAATGAGCAAAGAGAAGGGAAAGGAAAAAGAAATTAGGACAAAAATTGGATAGGAACATATTTGATTATATAATTGCAGACACAGAGCAGTTTTTCAATAGCCCAAAGATATGCTAGATGATGAACTAAGAGACGCTATATGCTTTTTTACCTTTTTTGAACTGCTGCTGTTAAATGACCTCTTATGAATAAAGACTGGTTAAAATTTCACTGAAATGTATGTGAACCTCTCTCAGTTCCAGAACACAGGAAGAGTGTTAATATTGTACCAGTATTTAAAAAGGGTAACTGGAATGACCCAGGTAATTGAAGACTTGCCAGTCTGACATTGATTCTGGGCAAAATAATGAAAGAGCTGACGTAGGACTTGATTAAGAAAGAATTAAAGGAGGGGAACATAATTAATGCCAATCAACTTGGATTTACAGAAAATAGATCCTGTCAAGCTAATTTGATATCCATTTCTTCTGAGATTACAGGGTTAGTTGATAAAGGTAACAGTGTTGATGTAAAAGACTCCTGTAAGGCATTTGGCTAAGTACTGCATGACATTCTGATTAAGAAACTAGGACAATAATAAATTAACATAGTAGTCATCTAATGGATTAAAACCTGGCTAACCGACAGTTTTCAGCATATAATTGTAAATAGGAATTTGTCACTGAATACGTGCTATTCTAGTGGAGTCTTGCAGGGTCTAGTTCTGAGGTCTACACTAACTGACATTTTTATCAAATGTTACTGACCTGGAAGAAAACATAAAATCATTACTGATTAAGTTTGCAGATGACACAGCAGAGGGAAAATACTAAATAATGATGACAACAGGTCACTAATACAATGTAATTGAGATTGCTTGATAAACTTGGTAATACCAAACTCTACACATTTTGATAAGGCAAGTGTAAAGTTTGACTGCTGGGACAAAGAATATAAGGGTGTGGGAACTGATATTTGTATTTAAACTGAAAGCAATACTAACATATTTAAAATAACAATTATTTTGCTAAATCTATTACTTTTTATATTCATTTCAACATTTTTAATAGATTGAGTCGTTATACTTCAGATTGGCTTGTAGTTTCTATTAAAACTCTAAATTAAGAGAGATGATTAAATATCAAGAAAAGCAAATGTTGAAGATATCTAATTTAAAGCAAGTAGACATGTTAGAATTATAGGTGGCGGAAGGCTGGGTCTAATGGGGCTTAGACCTCCAAACACAGTTAGCCTGGATGCGGGCTCTGGGTGGCTGCAGGGGCGCGCAGACAGGCAGAGACAAGCAGCTGGATCCTGCAGGCAGCTGGGAACTCAGCTCAGCCTGGCAGTGCGTGGAGCAGCTCCCAACAGGTAAATGTGTGGACAGGAAGGGGTGTGGGGGAGGGAAGGGGCATGGTGGGGGGGGAAGACTGAGGCCACATAAGAGTGAGGTGTGTGAATGAGGCCCTGGGGTAGGTTGTGGGATGCTCGGAGCCCAGGCAGCTCATCTGGGGGCGCAGGGGGCTCCTGCTGCTGCATGCACCCCCAGGGCAGGCACAGGGGGCATGTGCTCCCTGCATCTATGTGTGGGGTGCAGGCAGCTGCCACTTTGGATTGGGCTCCATACCCCGCTGCCGGTGCCCCCGGAATGGTGTGATGCCATGTGCCTCCCACTGCTGGGCAGGTGGCGCAGCCAGCATGCAGAAGACGTGGCATTGCACTGCTCCTGAGGCAGCAGCAGCGGGGTGCAGAGCCCAGTCCACAGCAGCAGCTGCCTCTGCTCTGCACACAGATCCAGGGAGAACATGCTTCCTGTGCCTGCCCCAGGGGTGCGCCTAGCAGCAGGAGTCCCCCTGCACCCCTGGATGAACCGACCGGGCTCCAAGCATCCCATGACCTGCCACGGCCTGGAGCCCCATTCACCCCAGCCCCTGCCCCACTTGTGGGGATCTCAATCTGCCCTCTTGTGCCTCTTCCCCATGACAGACTTATTTGCTAGGGGAGGGTGGGGGGCCATGTGTGTGCACTCAGCCCCGCCCAAATCATATTTTCTTCCTCCGCATATGGTTAGAATAGAAACCCCATCACATTTTTTTAAATAAATAAGGAAAAAAAGTTAAATTTACTTATAGACAGAATATTGGGCATTTATACACATGCTCTGGGAGGGGTGGGGGGGGAGCACTTTAATTAGAGTAGCTCTGAGAGCCGCTCTAATTAAAGTGCCCGGAATGTCATATGTATCACTGTCCCTGTGCTGAAAAATGGTGGCAGGGGCACTTTAAGTAAAGCTCATCAAATGAGCTATAGTTAAAGCACCCCTGCCGCCATGTTTCAGCACAAGGATGCTGATACACATGACACTGGAGCCTGCTGGAGTGCGGTAATTACCACACTCCAGCAGACTCAATTACTGTTCATCAGAGCCACCTCCCTGCACGTGTATAGGCACATTGTGTCTATGAAATATGGGGTATGAAATCTGAAAAATTGGGTAAGTTTACACAGTACAAGACATATCTGTGCAGAGATATCCTAGTTCAGGGGTAGCCACCTTGCAGCATAGTTGCCATAAGGGGTGTGGGCAGCCTGTGTGACACAGCAGATTCATAGTTTCATAGTTTGTAGGGTCGGAAGGGACCTTGACAGATCATCAAGTCTGACCCCCTGCCATGGCAGGAAAGAGCACTGGGGTCAAACAACCTCGACTAGGTATTCATCTAGCCTCCTCTTAAAGACCCCCAGGGTAGGAGCCAGCACCACTTCTCTTGGAAGTTGGTTCCAGATCCTAGCCGCCCTGACAGTGAAGTAGTGCCTCCTGATGTCTAGTCTGAATATACCATCTGCCAGCTTGTGATCGTTATTTCTAGTCACTCCTGGTAGTGCTCAGGGGAACAGGGACTCCCTCAATACCTGCTGGTCCCCTCTGACTAGTTTGTAACAGGTCACTAGATCCCCCCTCAGCCTTCTCTTGTGGAAGCTGAACAGGTTCAGGTCCCGTAGATTGGGGAGAGGACAGGCAGCTCAGAAACAGATACAGCAGGGAGGAGAAAGCAGCACATCATATAAGGCAGGAAGCACAGAACAGGAAGCAAAAAGCAGAGCAGCAGCTTGGTCAGGAAACACAGGACAGGTTGCAGAAAGCTGAATAGTTGACTGGGTAAGGGAAAGGGATCAGAGTGGCACTCAGGGAGGGTGCAGGGCTAATGTTTGGCATGCCTGCCCAAAAGGTTAGCCCCCAACTGTTTTAGCTAATGCTAAATTAGCTAGCTCTGGCATTAAAAGTAGTATAACTGTTAGCTCACTGTTCTGCCCACAATAGTTAGCCCTGCAAACAAGGCAGGGAACTATGATAATGTAGCTAAACACTCACTAGTACCAAATCTCAACTTGAAGTATCTTTGGATGGCACTGCATTATAGTTTGCAAACATATCATTGTGTTCCTCTTCTGCCTATCAGTCCTGTTTTAAACCCATTTTTTTAATGTCAGTTCTTAAAATAAACACTTTAGGGCAGGTACTGGCTTTCATTTTCTCTCTAAATACTGCCACACCATGGCATCCTGATGTTCACAGCCGCTTCTGTGTGCTATTGTTATAATAACGGCACTACATACCAGCACATTCTCTAGTTTGCTTGCAAATCATGCATCTATAATCTATTCTTTGAAATTTTACTTTATTTTAATTTACTTATTATTCAACTGTCAAAACTAGGAGAGGGGAATGGCTCTGTTTCATTACTTCTGCTACACTAGGATGACAGCTACTGAAAGTTTCTTCTTTTGCTCCTATGACACATCACTGGTGGGTCCTGACATAATGCCAACAACCAGCTGCAATATATGTATTCCTCCCATTTTCATGTCTGTTTATAAGATTATAATATAGAAAAACATTGACATATATGAACATAACTTGAAGGCTGAATGTCCTATGTTTCAATGCTATTTGAACAGTTGGTGTTTGCCCTTTAATACTGTTAGAACAGTGGCTTTATATATTTTCCCATAATGAATTCTAAATATATAGTGAAATGAACTTATTTCCATGTAAAGTGAACTTACTTCTGAAGATAAGAACACAGACATTTCACACTTACACACTAGATCAAATCACCACTGGTACTGACCCATACCAGTTGCTTCAGAAGGTAAAAAACCCCCTCAAATGTTAACAACTTTTAGTAACTACTGACTTGGATTAAATTCAAAGTGGTGATCTAGTGATGAAAGTCTCTATATTTGCCTTAATTAACCAGAAATAAATCTGTTGTCCACAATAATCATTAGCTTTGTTTGGTCTATACATTTACTTAAATTCTGCATTTAGAAATGCTGGTCCCTAGGTTCTGGTTGGTCAGTAACTTATTCCAGTTCATGACAGTGTTAGTGACTGGTAGTCGTCTTCGTACAGTTTTTCCCCAGGTTTCTTCTGACAAGGCTTGTAAGTTTTCTATCAAGGCAACCTGAAAATTGTTATCTTCAGCTTTTATGAGTTTCACAAAATCCATGGCCAACTGTGCTTGGTCTATAACATGCAAGACTTCTTCAGTTGTCTTACTCACTGTCATGTGAAGATTAGCGTAATTAAAGTAGTGTATTTGTAAATGATAGATTCCTGTGACCTGTGTAATAACTGGAGATAGGGCAAAAGTCCATTCCGATTTCCAAATGGTATTCCAGAAACCCAGGGCTTTGTACTCGTGACCTACAATGCAAACCACAAATATCTGCCTATTCTTCAAAGTTTTTCTAAACACACTGCAGTCCCCCGAAGGGAAGTAACTGCTCACATATGCCTTTAAAGCACTATTGAGGGCTCTTCTCCATAACTCTGTCTCATCTAACAGCACACCATGAAGCTGAAATTTGCTTGCTGTTTCACTCAGGTGATCAAATTTGAAAGAAAATTTGTTTTGAGGGCCAAAGAAGCGATTTCCTCCTAAGTCATTATAGCGAGTCACCAGTATATTTCTTCCTTCTATTCTGACTGTAGTGAAGTTGTTCTTATTGTGATGGGCACAGACCTGAGCAACCTCCTGCCTCATCAGCTCATCATCCTGGGCCAGAGTACGGAGATCTTCAAATACATTACTAAATTCACCTGGTGGTGCCTGATACAGCAGGTTGCAAATGGTTGACACTTTCTCTTTCTTATGTAAATCACATTCTTTGGACATTGTTTTACTTCTGTAGTACTGGAGCTGAAATAAGAGCATGAACAACTGTTCTGAAAAACCTGATGATTGAAGTTGTAATTAACAGCAATCTACACCTTTAATGATGTTGTAGCTAAAATTAATTTGCCAACTCTAAAACTGTGAGCAAATTACAATCCTGTCTTGAGAGATCTAGGGCAGCACTTCTCAACCAGGATGCCACCGTGTGCCTCGAGATCTTTTCAAGGATGCTGAGATGCCACACAACGTTAGCTCTGCTGGGTTTGTTAGGATTTTGCGGGACTTGCACAATAAACCCAGAGATTTCAAATAGAAAGCCATAATTGTGGTCCTTTTGAGTTCTTTGCAACATAAAAAATGGCTCTATCATTTTTCTGTAGTCAAAAAAGAGTGAAAACTAAGAGCTGCCATGTTCCAAGGGGTGCCTCGAGTTTATCAGAGGTGACTCGAGTCTAAAAGGATCGAGAACCATTGCTCTAGACACATGAAAAAAAAATGTAGCACCAGAACTCTGGGGAAAACGGTCATAGCAGAGAGCGGCAGTATTTGACGGCAGCAAAAATAAAAAACTTCCTCTACCAAGACATAGATGCAAGTGGGAAACATCTACTTAGCCCTGCCACAGCTTAGGCTACAAGATAGGAAGCTTTTAATCCGGCCAGCTTTAAGAAACCCCAGGAGGTCCCAGTGAATGAAAGAGCCTGGAGGGGAGGGAAAGGTGGGACCAAACATCCCAACACTGCCCTGCTGAGAAAAGACTAGAAACTCTGGACCAGGCGATACCTTTTCAAAAAAGGGCTCCTGAAAGGTCCAAGGCAGCTGAGGGAATTGCAGGGGGTGCTGGCAGGGGTGCGCAGGGCACATCAGTCACCGTCGGGGCAGAAGGAGCAGCCAGGATGGCTAGAGCCGGCCCCAGCAAAGGCAGCAGGTCAAAAAGGTTTGGGGGGGGGAGCGGGGGCCCCCCAGTCTGGGGCAGCCACAAGGGCGCTGGTGAGAGCAGCCCCCACCAGGGCAGACCCCGGATGATGCGGCGCTGACAGCTACTGAAACCACCGCAGTGAAGGGGAGCGACCGACACCGCGGAATGCACAGCCGCTATGGAGGCGAAATATCTTTCTCACCACCCGTCCCCCTCCTCCCACCCTACCATTGGCCGCGCGCCCCCACGTGGTGCTAGCCCTGCCCCAACGCGCTCGGTGGCGCGGCTGTTCGCCCGCCCAGGCGCGTATGCGCGGTGGTCGCCACGCTCCCTCCCTCCCTCCCTCCCTCCCTTCCTTCGGTCCTACCGGCTCCTCATGGCCTGGCGCGCATGCGCAGTTGGAGTCCTTAACGCCGCTGCACGTGGTTCCTGTCGGTGATTGAGGACGAGTTCCGGCACGGCAAGATCGACCTGGACAAGACGCTGAAGCTGCTGGGCCGGATGCAGCTCGGCTTCGACTATATCCACGTCAAGTATATCTTCAAGGTGAGGCGGTGCGGGGGTCTGGGGGCTGCAGGGGCTCATCGGCACAACAGCCCCCCCAGCCGGGGTGGGTGCGAGGGTCGTGCGCCCCGAGCCCGTGGGGCGGCGCCTGCTAGCCTGTGCGCTAGTCCTCCTGGTGATTCCGTGTGAAGGCAAAGCAGCGTGGCACCTTAGATACTAACTGGCACAAAAGCAGCATAAGCTTTTTTAAGCGACTGCCATCCTCGTTGCCCAGAAATGTAAATGGACGAGGGCAGGAAAGTGGCCCTGCAGTCCCTGGGGGTGGCCCTGGTCAGAGCCTCATTCCTGGTCAGCTAGATTGCTTGCTGGGCTCCAGATCAGCATCCAGCCTGTGGATGGGCCAGGCGCTGCCCATTGAGCCAGCCAAAAACACGTGAGCACCACTGCGATGAGGGTTGAGGACTGCTGCTTTGAACTCTGAGGCTGATTTTTCAAATGCTAGACCCCCAGCCTGCCCCTTAGCCCGCTCTCCCAAGTCTGCCAACAACGGGGGTTGCCCCTGTAATACAGAAATGAGAGGGGCAGTTAGCACGGTATACCTTATAGACTAACTCTGGGGTAGAGATGCATAAACTTTCATGAGCCTGAGCTCACTTCATCAGATGTGGCTTCATCATCTTCCTCATCTGATGAAGGGAACTTGGGCTCACAAAAGCTTATGCATCTCTGATTTAGTTGGTCTGTAACGTCCGTCTCTGCTCCACCTTCTAATATCCAAACGATCTGATCGGCTGAGAGTATCATGCAACATTTTTTTGCTTCTTCAGAGAGACTGATTATTTTTTACCTGATTTTTAGCTGAAAATGTTCCTTAGCATAAAAAGTGTGTAGTATCATTGTGCAAATTGCAAGAACATCTTATCTTACCAAAAACGACCCTTCTGTCTGATCAAGCTAATTTTTTACCATTGTCAATAACTACATAATGATAGTGACAGGGTTGTCTATGACTAAACAGCTACCTGAAAGGTGGATATAGAGCTCTTTTATGAACAGTTTCCTTTTTTTATTCCTTTCATTTTCTTTCTTTCTTTTTTTAATTTTTTATTCTGTAATATCACTGTGGGCATACTAGAAATATGGAGATTCATGTTTGTTAGAGAATAGCACAGTTTCATAAGATTCTTCATTTCCACAGGAAATTCTTTTGTCAAGCCTACTACGCTTTCTGAATAGCAAAGCTAAAGCTGCATTAATAAAAATAAAGATATGATAAGAAAATCCATGTACAAATCTATAATACTCTTTCTATATATGTGTACGGAGTCCATTGTTGTAGTTTCAAACCATTCTTGAAAGTAGAGAAGTAGTTAGTCTAAAGGCAGGCAGAAGGCAAAGCAGCATGGCGCCTTATAGACTAACTGGCACAAGAGACGCGTAAACTTTGTTAAGTGACTGCCTACATCATTGGATGCCATGAAACTATGAAGGCGTGTCTGTGTCATGGCAGAGAAATTGCTCAAAGAACACTTTGGCCACTGACAGATGTGGAAAAAAACCAACAGAACAGCACTTTACTGGCAGAGGAAGTGTGTCAGTTTGACCCAACTTCTGTCTAGATCACGTGTTTCCGTGAGGTTTTTTGGTGCTTTTATCATACAGCTGATTGAATCAGCTATTACACAAAAGCGCTAAAAAGCCCTGCTGAAGCTGTGATCTATATGTTGGGTGAGGCAGGTCAAACTGATGCGATGCCTCTTCTGGGCATGTGCTGCACTCAGTGCAGGGGTGCACCAAGCTGAGAGTAACTGGTTTTGTTTGGTTTGTTTTTTTCCCCACTTCTGTAAGCAGCACTTTAGTTCTTTCACAAGGTGATACTGATCCAGGAAAAGAAGCTACCTTACCTGAATCCCAGTGACTGCCTTAATTACCAGATAATTCTTCAACATATTTTTTCTTTTTATATTAATATGTGTGAGACCTTTTACAAAGGGTTGGGGCTAGATTTTGAAGATGTTGATTTCTCAACCAGTGCTAAACATTTTAGTATTAAGATTTTATATCAATTTTTTTTCATTAGTAATTCCTCTTAAACAGTCTTAGTCCAAACATTTTTAATTAGATATCATTCTGGAAAGGAATTAAGATTACAGAATCTTAATCTGCAGAGTTTAGCTGCATTGATTTAGGTTAACACAGTTTATAGCTCTACATTATTTTATACAGTCATAGATTTATTTTAGTAGGTATGAGATTTCTTAGGAAAGAACTGGTAATACTTTTAATTTCCATGACATTATTTTGAATTCAACCCATATTGATAATATGGAAAAATCTTTGTAAAAATGCTAGTTTCATACTATCTTGTCGGAGCTCAAAGTTTCAGGGCAGTTTTGTGCAAACCACTGACCTCCATTATTAAAGTATCCCATGTGAAGGTGTCTACCCTCCCTCACAGTCTCATCAGAAACAAAGGCCTGAATAGTACTGAATTTCTCAGATGCAGTGTCAGACAAGGTTCCTTGGGTGAATTTGATATCTTTTATTAGACCAACCCAAATGGTTGGAGAATAGTTATTAAGCAAGCTTTTGGGTTCAAAAACCCTTCGTCATGCTAAGGAAGTTTCAGCAGTTGATGTGTAGTCCTTAATATAATTTGGGGGCATGTTGGGAGCAGTGTTTGTTTTAGAAATATGTTCTCTTCCCAGTTAAGAACTGTGCCCTCAAATGTATTTAAAATGTAATTGATGTTAATTGATAAGAATATATTTACCTTTTCCATTGTCATAACTTTATTTTGTGCTTCAGATTCACTAAACTACAGTGAGACTGCATTCATGCTTTATAACCTAATGCAAAAACATATGCATCTAATTTAATTACGTATATACTAATTGTCATGTGGTATAATTTAAATGTTCTTACATGAAATAAGACATTTTGACAGCCAAAAATTTGCTACTTGAGCTGCTTAGAAAAATAGAATTGAGTTGCATCAGGGTAATGCAGAGGACCAACTGTATAGTAGTCACAGTGACAAGGTATTTTAACCAATGTGCTGGCTCTTACGATACACTCTTAGGTGTTAATGCAGTGTTTTGGATATACTTGCATTAACTAATTTTTGCATTTTAGAAAACAACTGAACAGCGGAAGATACGAACAATTAACATAGAAGACTTCATAGCAATTTATCGAACACTTGCTCACAGAAATGAAATTCAGGAACTTTTCTTCAGTTATTCTCCAAACCACAAAATATTGACTGAAGTGAACCTGCTTGAGTTTCTCAAAAAAGAACAGTTTGAAACTGAGGCTACTGAAGCAACTGCCTCTGAACTCATTATGAAATATGAACCCATTGAAGAAGGTACATTGCAGCTTAAACATACATTACATACTGGATTTTCAATTTTAATCTACAGATTAAATTTTTATGTTATTGTAAATGCATGTATATGTTAATATATGTCTGATTTAGCAAATTGTTGTGGTGCCTTTTAGTAAAGAACTGTAAATATAATTGCATACCATATGTATACTTTTCCCAAAAATCAACCCTCTAAAATTGGGGTAGGTGTTTCTTAAGCAGGGAAGCTCATTTGTCTTCACTGGAATAGAAACTTTGAAATGCTGTTGTAATGGCTGACATTTGTCTCTGGACTAGCACACATCAGGAGCAGAGTTCAATTAGTAGTGGCTATGAAAGGGTTAACAATGTGGATTTGCCAGTGAGCTGCTACATGCAGAAAAAACTTTTTTTTTTTAACTATTTTCTGCCTTCCAAAAACAATGTACATGTCTTATTCGGGGACATGTGGTATGCAAGAAAATATGGCATCTAAGGGGCAATTTGAAACCTGTTTGTAAGTATATGTACAAAATAGTAGTTGTTCTTCTAGTTGTAATCCTTTAGCTACTATTAGAAAGAAATTATTAATACAGCACTATAAGCATGCGCATGTCTCAATTTTAGCTCCTAAAAGTCCGCTTCAAAGTATTGGAGCTAATACTGGTCCAAAAAGTCATTTTATTGATCAGAGGCAATTTGAATCATGAACTGGAGCGAAGAAAAAGAGAAAACACTTTCTTAAACTATTTTCTCCATCATGAGTTATTGTTCCTTAAAATTTAAGTTAAGAAAAACTAGAGATGTACTTAAGATAGAATAAAAAGCAATGTTTTGAATAATTACTTATTGTACAATTTGCTACCTTTTCAGTTATCTATCTGGGTCAGTCATTTCTAAAATAGAATAAATTGCATCAGAATTAAATTATATTTGAGAGAGCTGCTTTACAGCCAGATTAAACTGAAGTTTTTTTTGTGTGTGTAAATTCCATTGGTTTATTTAACTGCTATGTTTATGTTCATTTTTGTTAGGACACTGTTGTCGGTAAAATGTAGGACATGGCTTATATTTCTCTCTCAAATCAAGAATTGAATAATGTACGATTTCAGTGTAGTGTTTCACTCATGTCATTCTCCAGCCTGATTGTGTTGTTTTAACAGTATTATGTATCTGCATTTGTTTCAAGCAGTGCGGTCACATTTCTCAGGTTGATACCTTTTTAATGTTGTAAGAGATGTGAGAAGTTTAAATATAAGGTATATTGTAACCGCTGTGCAAAAATTAACATCAGTAAGACCTGGTGCAACAAGATGAGTCTAAATTCTCTGTTAAGGTCTCGGGTTGTCTACAAACTTAGTTAAAAACACTACGTTGGTTTACATTTGGATACTTTTCTTTCATATGAGCTGACCCTTTTTGAGGAAAATTGTTTTTCTCCCTAAATATAACTAGATAACTGCAGTCTTTGAACTGTCATTGCCTTTTATAGCATTACACAAGAGGATCCAATAACCAAGAAAAAGTACCCAAAGGATTAAGTGCAATAAAATTCTAACAAAAAGTATCCTCTGTACCAAAGGTTAATTTTATCATAGGCTTATTATATTGTCTTTAACATACATTCCAGCTGAACATTTTAATTAAAT